CAGAACACATCCCCTCCAGCAGCCAACACCCAGATAAGCAGGGATTAACACCAGGCAAACAAGCAGAAAACAACACCCTAATCAAGGAACTACCAAGGAGAAACCACATTCCCACCAACACTGGCAGGGCAAGCTGCTGTTTATAAACAGGGAGCAAACCCCATGCTCACTAGCACTGATGATGTTACCTAGTTGGGTAATAAAACGTCTGCAAGCAAACAACCAAGCTCAGAGAGCACCATGAACACTATCTGCATAATAATTTTAGGTACCCTAAAAGATTCATAGGCACCCAGCTGGAATATTAAACTTTTTTTTTTCAAACATTAGTCTCACTTTATATTTGAAACTCCTGCTGAAACTTTCCACGCTTCCAAAAATTGCCTGCAAGCTGTGGGTTCCTATTCAACAAATGCCCTCATTGTCCACAAATGTCTTGGCACTGAGGATACTGAAATGAAATCCAATTCCACAGGGATTCTTCTCTTGCCATTAGATTCCACATTATATGGCTACATTACATGATGCATCTAGAAAATGCATGTTTGCCCTATGTAGCACAGAGTATAGCCACAAGAAAAATACAGACAAGTAGGCTGTAAAGATCATTCCTGACATAGGAATTTCAGGGATCCCCCCATTCTGTTCACCCTGAAGAGTAATAAACAAACCTATGGAGGGATGGATGAAAAAGCAGTAATTTCAGGGCCACCAACTGTGTAAGAACGGTCCTAGGATATTTTTTGGAAGGTGTCAATATTTTCCCTGGCAACTCCAGACGGTGAGAAAGCAGAGTGATAGTTGAACACCTGCCAAATCTCACACTTTCAGATATTCTGTTAACACACCATCTGCTAAAATGCTGAGAATATCAGCTCAGTTTTATTAAAGAAATAACTTTCTCCTGAGATGAAATCAACCCAAGAAACTTTCACTGCATGAGTGGGTTTAAGTTAACAAATTTCACCAAACACATTTGCAGAAGAGCAGAGCCATTGTTCTCTGAGATGCCTACATATAGGTGTAGTTAGTGCTTAAAATCTTTCAGTCCAAGAGATTCCAGTGATTCAAAGATTCCAGAAGAGTGCTTCATCTAAACAGTAAAAATCTGCCCAAGGCAGGTTCTGGGCTTCAGTGGGCCTCTGAAAAGTATCCTCCAGTGAGTTTCTTCCTATGCCAGTGGACCCTGGTGAAATTACGCATTGGTGCTGTTGTCAGGAGAAGTAACACTTTGGCTGGGAGCCAATCTTTCAATTTTACAGAGTGCCCTGACAGAACGTTCTTGGGGCACAATGGAAAATTAAGAGTGGCTCATCTGAACATGCAAAAGGAGTTAGGGCAGGCCCTGCTGGATGCTGGGGACCACTTCAGTTGTCTGAAGTCAGAATATGCTGGTGCTGAGCAAGCACATCTTTCATTCTCTTGAAATGATTGGTGTCCAGTCCCTATCATGAACCTTTTCATTAGGTTTAAACAAGCCAGCTGCCTAAGCCTGTATTCCAGTCTGCAATATTTGTTTTTGCTACTTAGAATATGTGAGCTGTGTTATTTTTCTAAAGAACTACCACATAAACAAAGCAATGAGTTAACATGGGTCTTAGGAACCCTTGGTTGAACAAGCCAGAGTAGTCTTAATGTTGAGTTGTGGTTCAAGAGCATAATGGCTGAGGTTTGGGGCTAAGTCAAAAATAAACCAGATTGTGGTTTAGATAGAGAAATATGGACATGCTTCATCATCATCATGTGTGTTTTAGCCACTTCAAAGATTATTTTTGGTGAATGTTATTTATTCAGTGAATATATCATAAAGAGGAACTTTCTTTGTGCACTTTGTCTTGTGATCTCTCTGATGAACATCAAAACAGTTCCTTTGGAATAGGTGTTCACAGTGTAGAAAGGCTGTTTGTGGGAATAACTCATCATTGCATTCATCTGATGCATCGAGAAGGTGTTATGTACTTCCCAGTATAGAATAGCAACCAACAATAGATCTGATTAAAGCAAAAAAAGAGAATAAACACTCTACAACAGCAATCAGTAATATAGCAATATTATGTTTAGTGTAAGCAAAAACAAAATTTAAATACATTTTCATGGAATTCTTGAAATATTTCTTCAAGGTGTGGGACTCTCCTTTCAGGTGTCTTAAGTCATTTGGGTAGCCTGCATATACAGCAGTCTCACCTCTGCAGATCTCCTTGAACTCAGATATGGGGATGATGGATATGCCAGTAGGTATGGGCAGTCAAGTGAGCATGGATATCTCCCCCAAAGCTTATCTTGTCTGGCTATGAATTCAAAGCAGTTACTCTTGCAATTGTTCAAAATTGCAAAGGCAATTTATATAGAGAAAAGGTTAGTATCACAGTCAGCAAAAGAGATACTGGATGTTGAGCACAGTAGGAAGAAAGAGAACTGGAAAATGCCTTAGAAAAGAAGGCTAGGAAAAACTCAAAATAGGTGCAATGTTTTCTCAATATAATGTACACTCTACTAGACCACACTGCCCTTATGCTTACTTGATCATCCTAATCTCTAAGAGAGAATATCCTAGAATTGTTGCTCATCCATTAGCAAATAGTTGTCTTGTGTGAAATGAAGAGCTCTTTATCTGATATGGCTAAACTCTGATCTCCCTCTACATTCCACATTTTCCACAGGTTCATGATCGCCTGGATCGATACTGCTGTGGTTTCCAGCCAGATTCCTCTGAGCCTTGTGTTCAGGAATTACTCCATGAGAAATGCCGAAATCCTGCAGAGCTGGTTTTGGTCCATATTTTGGTATGCCTAGTTATTGTTTGAAGCCCAGTGATTTACAGAATAGCCCAGTTATGCATGCTCGCTTTTCATTATATTGCTTTCCCAGCCAGTTGGTAAGATGTCAAAATAAATATGTGGGATGAAAGAAGATAATTAAGAATGAAATTACAAGTTTGGGACAGCATATATGTATACAATGGTGTGCATTACAGTAACTACAGTATAAAGTGGGGAGCTTGCCCCATGGTTTATGAAGTTAATAATCAGGTGATCTCAATGCATTCACGCAAGGTGTAACTGGGCAGTATCTAAGGTGACCCTTCCCCAGTCATTGAAAGCTTTCTGGCTTCTCAGGAGAGGGGGAAAACTTACTTTAAAAGTTTATTGCCCACCTATTTCCTTAGGAGGGCACTCACTCTGGTTACTAGTTTTTAAAACCCATTCATCACCATCTCAACTGTAACCTTACTGACTTAATCAGACCCTTCACAGAAGAACTTCTTGGAGAACTGAATTCATGCTGCATCAGATCACAATATTATTATTCCAAAACCACCCTTCCTGTTGTGAAGATTTCTGACATCAGAAGCCCCAAAGCAACACTGTTTGCAGAGGAGGTTCCCCCCTTCTCAATAGATATCTATTTTTCATGTTTTCTCCCATTGCTCCATAAGATGCAGTTGGTCTATTGTACATCAGTTCAGTAGCTGGTACAGAAGTACTGGTTTGTAGAAGGAAAAGTGCTTGAGGGCCTAGAAGATTTTGGATCTGCAACTTTCTCAATGGAGTAACATCCAGCCATCTTCCTTTTTGTCTCTTTTGGTTTCTTTATCCATTCTCAATGGGAGATTGAACAAATTCTATGACTTCCGCAGTGTTAGAACCATTAAATATCACAGAACATTGCATAGCAAATTTAAAATATCAGAGGCCTTCTGGAGGGGGATTAGGGTTCCTAAAAAAGCCTAGGCTATAGTGATTGTCAAATCTACAATATTGTCAAATATTGGTAGTCCAACATCTGTTTTAAATGAAAACCAGGAAGCTGGAAGCAATGTACTTTGAGAAAATCCATCTATCATCATCTTAGCTTTGAAAACATCATCCAACCACACTTCTGATTGAAAACATTGGCTGTGTTTCTAAAATCCTAATTAAGTTTGGATGTTGGCTTGATATGCTCTATGATTGATTTTTTTCTTTTCCAATATTTCTTTAGAATATGTAACCCTAAATATGATGAGCAGCCAGGCAAACATTCCAACATTTCATCAAACATTGCATTAGTCCATTCACATCCTTACCTTGTCCTCAGTTAATTGCCAAGTTTACTTTTTTCCCTTCTTCCAGGTTCGGAGGAGCAAGCCTTCTCATTTAGTATTTATTGACAATGCAGGAAGACCTTTCCACCCTGAAGCAAAACTTAATTTCAGACTTCTGCAAGGCATAGATGGGTAAGAGGGATGATAGAGCAATTGACCTAACAGAATGTCAGTTTAATGGGGTATAGATGCTACGTAACATTTCCAAAATGGAGAGAATAGAGTGATGATTTCCCTTTCTGTTGCATCCTGTTATATCCTGGAAACCAGCTTTGGTGGGGTTGGGGGACCCTCCAAAATAATGTGTCACTGGAGAATGTAGAAAGGGGGAGGAACTGAACAAAATCACTTGGTCCTTTACTGCAGAATGAGTCTCCATTGGATTCTGGTTCTCTCCACTAAAACCCTTTCATTTGTAGAGCAACAACTCTCTCTAACCTTTTTGATTGAAGACTACTTAATGGGGGAGAAAAGATAACCACAAGCCCTTTTGTCTGAAGTATTTTCTCATGTAGTTTTCTCTGAGTCTAGCTACACATCATATTAAATGTTCAGTTGCATTTCATGTGTCTAGTTTTAAAATTATAATCTTGGGTTTCTTCTTGCCAGATAGGTGAGAAGATTCTTAAGTCCAAGAACATTTACCGTTAAGTGAATTCCAGGAGGATACAAAAATTTGTTACAATGAAAAAAATGATAGCACAATGGTTCTGTTTACTGCAATTGGATATGTGTCTTTTCAGAAGAAAACTTGCATGTAAAAAACTCATACAGGATTGCAGACTTTAAGACACAAGATTTTCTGTGGCATAAACTTTCATGGATTGCAACTCTTTTCTTCAGATAAATTGAATTATAATTCTCGATAATGTATGAATGTTTTTCATTAAGAATAGGTTTTCTTAATCAACGCCCTTGAATATGTTCTTTGCAAAAAACATAAAAATGTTGTAAATCTAAATGTTTTAAGAGGCAGAGGGGTTATTCTGTTTGTTCTAAATGCCTCCGTTTATGAAAAAAAAATCCCTTTTCTGTTTATACTCTTCTCAGGTTTCCTCGGACAGCTATAACAGTGCTCCAATCGGGATGCTTGCAAAACCTGCTTTTACAATCACTGCATGTAGATCCAGAATTCTGGGGGAGTCAAGGTGGATATGAAGGTCTGAAGCATTGGCTTAATATCATTGACAGGAGAGGGCAGGCCCTACTCCAGTACATTCAAGAGCATAATCTGACCATCACAGAAGATTCCTTGGATTAGATTTTGATGACAAGTATTGCACATCCATCTGCTTTAGGAAAGAGCACTGAACTTGGAAAGACTCAATACCCTGATGCCAGGCAGGCAGGCATTCTGCTGGCTATGGAACCTGGGCTAAGTGAATTCAGAGATTTAAAATGAATGAAATAAAATTGAAAAGGGATGTGCAGTGGGATGATCGTAACTCAGAATAAAAATGTTGTAACTGATATTCAGACCGCCCTAGCTGAATATCCTTGCAAGGGATTTCCACAAAACAGGCATTGCTGCCAAAATATCCCTCTGTTTTCCTAATCAAAGTTCATTTTATTATAATGGCACCCCAAAGCAATATGAACCAGTAATCTTCGCTAGGAGACTGTTAGAAAGAAGGGGTATAACAAGGTATACTTGTTAATGAGGGTGCCCATCATTCAATTTGTCAGACAGTGAGGTTCAATATACATGTATATCTGTTTGGTAAATAAGAGAACAGATAAAAATTCTGATCTGACATGCATGATCCATAGGGTTTTAATGATGTAGACCAGACCTCCCCAATCTATTGCCCTCCAGATTGCTGGCTGGGGATTCCGAGTTGTAATCCCAACATTA